GGGGAAAAGCTGCCGCTTTACGGGGACGTCGCTCTGGGTGACAGACGCTCGAGGTCTCCCGCTGCCGGCTCTAAACCCGCCTTGGCATTTCTAAACATTCTCGAGGGCAAGTTCCGAACTTCCCAGGTGTGACAGCCTACGCGGGGGGGGGCCCGATAGGCACTAGCGGGAGCTTTAAAAGGGCTCGTTTCACAGGCAGTCATGAGCCTGTCAGCTGGGAGGAAGCATTTAATCCAAAAATAAATGGGAATGGGAATTGGTTAACACGTTACTGGGGGCGGGGGAGGGAGGACGGACGGAAGGAAGGAAGGAATTCTAGAAAACGGATGAGGGAAGCGCAGGACACAAGGAGCAATCTACGGCCAGCAGAGAGAGGGACAATGAGGGGTTTCCAAAGTATGCTAGTCCGCTCCCTGGCACTGGTGTGTTACTAGCTGGAAATGACGCCATTATCCAGAACACGGCAGAGAAAGCGGCCGAGTTATTTCTGTTCTGTATCTGGGGAAAGCCCGGTGCTGCAGTGCTACCCTCAGGAGGGTCTTAGAGCAGCTACGCAAGTTAAATATGGTAAAATCAGCAGGGTCAGGACACTTGCTGCCAAGAGCTGGAAGAGAGTTGGCCAAGGGGCTTGCCGCGTGGTTAATACGCGTTGGAACCCCAGGAAGGTTCCAGAAGACTGGAAAAACACTCACGCTGGGCCCGTTTTTAAGGACACACAGGCGGAGCCAGGCACTGCCCGGTCTGTCCGTGCTTCTGCGGGAGATACGGGAGTGACTGGCAGGCGAGTCACGTCCTGAAGCATTAAAGGATGAGCAAGCGGGCGCGTTCAGGGAGAGCCCTGGGGCCGGGTCAGGGATTTCGACACGAGGATCTGAAGCGAGTTTAACGAGAAGCCAAAAGAGCGACTTGAGTCCAATCGACAGGTACCCGCAAGGGGAACAACCCCCCCTCCCCCCACACACACCCCTCCCTGGGCAGGTGTGTCTAGGGACGTGCTAGTGTGACTGGACTCTTCTGTCTAGCGAGGAAGCCCAATTGAGGGTTGACCCAAGCCAGGCTGGAAGGAAGGGGAGCTTGTTTATCGGGGAGAGCAATTCAGTATTGGAACAACGGCCCGGGGGTCGCCGTGGGGTCTCCCCCAGGGACCAGTTTGGACTCCAGAGGGGAGGTTTCCCCATGAGATCGGCTCTAGGAAGGACTCCGGGGCAGTTCTCCGGCCCGTGCGGTGCGGGAGGGCAGAGGAGACGATCACGGTGGTGCCTATGGGCCTGGGCATCGATGGCTTGTAAAAGGGCTTGGCTCCCCCAGAGCAGACCCCCCCCCCAGCACT